TTCCCTTTTATTTTACAAAGCTACACAGACTGTAGAACGAGTATGTAACCTTGAAGCTGTATGTATGTACATTGCACAGCCGAGAGACTACAAAATAATGCAGTTAATATCAATCCTCCGATCTCACTTTGCATTCATATATATAGCTAGGATGGGAAGTAGCACCATATTCGCCTTAGCTTGAGAGATCTAGAAGGCTATAGTAGGTTAATATCCATTTGTATGCACTATTAACTATTTAGGCAGATTCAACCCTGGGGTAATGGCATTATCTTCAATTAAGGTAGTTCACGTCATCAAAAGACGCCCCCTCAAAGTTTTTCATGTATAAATAATACATACTCCATTTGTTTTAAAATATAAGTATTTCTAGATTCTTTTATAAAGGAAATACTTATATTTTTAGGAGGTGTTTAGATCAGAGGTGTAAAGTTTTGGCGTGTCACATCGGATATTATATAGGGTGTCGCATGGAATGTTCGATCGGGCACTAATAAAAGAACTAATTACAGAATCCGTCAGTAAACCGTGAGACGAATTTATTAAGCCTAATTAATCTATCATTAGCAAATATTTACTATAGCACCACATTGTCAAATCATAGAGCAATTAGGCTTAAAAGATTCGTCTTGCAAATTAGTCGTAATATGTGTAATTAGTTATTTTTTTAGCCTATATTTAATACTTCATGTAGGTGTTCAGACGGAGTGTAAAATTTTTGTGTGGGGAACTAAACAGGGCCCTAAAAAGAGGGAGTATAAAATAAGTTGTATGGCATTTAATATCGATTCTCACTTCTTTTTCTCTCATATCATATCTTATACATGATATCATACAATATTTGAATAAGATATATATATCCCAAACGTCACGAAGATATATCAACTTTATTCTCATCCACATTAGTAAAATGAATATACTAAATATGATGAGATGCCTCGTTAATTGACATGGTTCGTACCTAGCTCCTTCTCAACTGGAGTTCATGAATCATGACATTAAATAACATACATACCATGTAAGGTAAAAATTAAGGCGACACTACAACTGATACAGAGAGAAGTAAGACTTAAGCCTCAGCGTGAGATTTAACTTCAGCACGAAGACTCCACCAAATAGCATAAACATTACACTAGGTGAACAATTTTTTAGTTGTGTACTTAAATGACATGAATAAGATAGACTCTGGTTCGTGGTGTATGCATTAAGGCTGTGTTCGGGAGGACTCCTCCACGGTACGAAAAACGAAATACGTATTATTGCATAATTAATTAAATATTAAACTAATTTCTTTTTGAAAAATGTATTAATATGATTTTTTTAAAACAACTTTCACATAGAATTTTTTTTGCAAAAAAATACATCGTTTAGCAGTTTGAAAAAAGCGTACGCACAGAAAACGAGAGATGTGAGTTGGGAAAACTAGGGGAAAGAACACAACCTAAGGCTGCGTCCGTGAGCAAGGGTTGGGAACCCTCCCTCCCATGCACGCACAACGAAGCGACTGTTTAATGCATGATTAATTAATTATTAGCTAAAAAACTTGAAAAATTAATTAATATGGTTTTTTAAAGCAACTTATGTATAGAAAATTTTTACAAAACGCATCGTTTAGCAGTTTAGAAAACGTGCACTCGAAAAATGAGGGGTGAGTTGGAAAAGTTGGGGAAAGAACCCAACCTAAGACTGTCCCTGAGAGGTGTGCTTTTTTTAATGAAAACCAATAAGAAACCGTGAAATTTTAAGGTTCACCTTTTCGATGAAGGACAAGTAGATTTCGATGGTTCAACTTTTCGATTGAGTGCTAGATTCTGACCCCTAGCAGTACAACATTTTAGACCAAACTTCAACAGATTTTTTATTAAATTTCGGTCAGACTTTACCCTTTTATATTTGAATTTTCCAAAACCATTCAAAATTTTGTTGTAATTTGGTGTTCTTTTATAATAAAGATAAAGTTAGGGCACATAAAACATGAAAACCATTAATTAACATATGATTAATTGAAATTGATTTATTTAATATTTTAAAATAGCTTATAAATAGAAAGTTTTGCATGAAACGTACCGATAAGTAGTTTGAAAAACGTGCTAACGTAAATCAAGATAAAATTTATGTCTTAATCAGAAAATAACATCACTGAACCTCAAATTTTCACGGTTTTCGATCGGCTCTCTTAGAAAACGTGAACCCCCACCGCGCCCCTACTGCGAACAACCGCATCGCTTGGGATTACTGCTGAAGCGTGAGGGCGAAGCACTGAGCCAATGACAGGCTGCATGCCACCACCACGGTGCCTGTGAGCCACCAGCTACACAACTAGTGCAGGTGCTCGACCACACAGCTAAGCTAAGCTTGTGCATCGCAGGCAGCTGCCCTGCCATCGAAGCAAGGACCCATCTATACAGTCTACCTGGCTCAACTAGCTAACTAGCTAGGCTTGTGCATTGCAAGGCCACACCAGTCACACAGCCACAGTCACACCAAGCAGCAGGATGCGAGGAAGAGAAAATCGCCTGCATCACACTCACACGGATCGTTTCGCGCCCGGAGATCTTGACGCGATCTACCACCGTTGCGTCCGAAAGCGACGGTGGATGGACAGTCACTGAGGCATCTGCAGTTTCTGCACAGACACAATTCATTGCACTCGATCGGAACAGCTACTCGACCTGAGCTTGATGGGTGGGAAAAAACGATGATTTTTCCTGGAGTGATGTGTGATCCCTGATTCACAGATAGGGAAAGAAAATAAAGATGTTTCCTCTTCAACATTTTCTCCTGATTTGATCCTCTCTGACCTCACTAACGCCATCACGTTGGCACATAGACAGCTTGACTGATTACTACTGTTTCCATTCCAAAATACTATAAGCACTTGAAGTATTTTAAATTTGAGCATAAATATAAGCGCTTTTAGTAATATTTAGAGTACTATTTATCCTATCAATCATCTAGCATTTGAATTTCTTTTCATCATACCCTAATTCTCTGCTAAACAAAACTATGGAGGGAGTATTGTGGCTTCAGTATGTACTATGTAATTTAATTTAATATTTTGACAAGCACTTTTCTATCGACAAATTTTGAAACACATACTGTACGATGTTATCCAAGCATGCAACAGGACAAATATTACCATATGGCAATCCATTCACCATAACATGACAAATTCAAAGATTACCCAGTTGTAGCAACGAGTGCACACCTTCCAGTGGTTGTGAGAGAGCAGAGCACCATGGTAGCCTGATTTATTAGCTCGGTCCCGGAGGAGCGTTGAATCAAATCTGGACGTACCTGGCTAAAGATTTCCCCCTTTACGAGCACTATGTACGCATCATCATCGATGTGGTCGCGCGCGGCGCGCCGAATTGCGTTTCAGGCCCAGGACAGCGAAGGGGGCGGATAGTATAGTACCTACCCTAATCACACGCATGAAAACTGTACGCCGGTCTCACGCTGACCTAGTAGTGCTTAGGGCAGGCTGCGCCAACAGCGCTAATGCAGACGCATACAGTCACATTCTGGAATCATGTGAACCAACAATGTTCCAGTGATCATATATCTTGAATCATACATTGTGAATCTTCTCTCGTTACAGAAATCGCAAAAGGAATATCTCTTTACCTCTCAGTATTGTATAATTTCTATCGTTCACCCTAAAAAAGAATAGGTTCCAACTCAAGTTTTATGTGAAAGCTTTCACCACTCTGCTGTGCTTGGGGTCACATTTGCTTATCAGAATTTTCTATTGCAATCACGCACGTGCATTGATGCAACGTTTTGTCTATGTAGAGCGCATCACATAGGAAAAAACGACGCATAGGAAAAAGGTCACCCGAGTTTTGTATTGAGCTAGGATTCTAGGCATTTCATTCAGCTCAGCTGTCGTAAGACTTGCTTCCAAGTTCCAACCAGCGACTGAAACCGACCCGGTTGGCATTATCGTCATGGCTGCAGCCGAGAGCCGATGGAGCTAAGCGAAAACAGATAATTGACGTCGACTACACAGTCCCTTTGCACAAGAAAACAATTGCATGTTGCATGCTACGACAGCAGCAAATTGCAAGTATCGCAACAAAAGACAGCAGCAAATTGTAAATATACTAGCAATACATACAAGAACAGCTAAAGACAACACAAAAGTGCGGTTTCAGGGGGAGAAAAGAATTGGTTTCAAAAGGGAGCAGCAAATTGATTCTGACGTGGGAAGACATCGACATATTAGGCCTACTAGATCTTCGTCTGGGCTACGAGCCTACCAATCATATGATTTGCTTACCTGTAGAAGTCTAGACGAGTTGATCCACATTTCTAAGCTTAACAAATCGTTCACCAGGGTCAACAAATCTACAGAGTAAAAGACAGCGAAGGCGGTATCAAGATCCAATTATACTGTACTTGAATAGCCTGCAAAACCAAATCATTCATCTTATATCCAGCTGGAGATACTGTTCGACTCAGGCTATCAAAGGCACCTGACATTGTCCGGGCTGAGAAATAATGCTAGGGCATAGTAAGTAGAAAGATTGAAAGCCTCCCCTGTCTCTCCATTGCTTCAATTACATGTGGCTTGGTAGTCAGGCACTCTTCAGAAATTGAGAGTGGTGAGCAATGTGATCATCAATGAATGTAGCAATAAAAAAGTAGGAGTGGTCGTATCCAGGTTGCATGCGGAGAGTCAAAGGAGCTCCCACAGCCTTGCACGCCTCCTCAAAGTTGCGAGGTAGAAGCTGCTTTGCCAGAAATTTGTCATCCTCTCCCTGCTCAAGTTCACAAACCAGTGTAGAAAATAAGATATCTTACAGATGATGACTTCCTTTTTGCTTCATTTCATTGGAGTAGTTTAAGAAAACCATGTTAACAACCTAACACAAATTAGAAAATTTTGCAAACAGATGCACACTGGGGGGTATGAATGATAGCGAAAGGTCCTGAAAACTTATCAAAAATCAAGCCAATGCCTACTTATATTACGGTCCTGTACTTTCACCTTGTTCAATCAACACCTAATGATGCGTTATTCAATCTATTCAAACTGTTTTGTTGACATGACGAGGCAACAACTCACAATCCATGAGATATAATCTTTGTACAGTTATTGTGCCAACCTGGTGGAAAAAGGATGCTACGCTGATGGAACAGAAAGTATGTCAGATACAGCGATACTGCGTGAACATATGATAGACTCCTAACAAATCTAACTGTATTAAACGGTAGATGTTTACCACTTGAGGAGCTAACAGTTACACACCACAGAACTAAAATAGTTGCAACACGCCATGATGCAGTGCAAAAGAATTGGTTTCAGACTCTCATATACTAGCACACATAAAATTGATAAATGCCTCCCTCTTATGAGTTATGATTAACCATCACTTGCTCATCATCGAAGGGGGAGACCAATTGAAGGTCAGAGGTAATTGTTCAACTTCAAATTACTGTTTATGCCTCCTACAAGTACTTGAATGACAATTGGCGATTAGTCCTATATGCAATAACTATATGCCAAAAAAAAAAGTGGGTTAGCCATGTTCCAAAAACAGAATAAAAGAATGCTGGACCAATAATAAATGCAGGAGGCAGACCTGATTCAATTCATTGCCACGTCATACCTGGTCAATCAGAATAGGAGTTGAAATTTTGTTGCACTTCTTGATCAGGCAGGTTGCATCATATTCCTGCAGTTAGGTACAACAATGTGTGAGGGAGAGCGAGGCCACGAGGGTGAGGTGAAGGACTGAGCAAGAGAGAGATTTTGTCTCTACAGAGGAATTACCTTCCAATCTGATTTAGCTGGGCCCAAATAGTTTGAGAATGCTTTCTGACCCCAAGGGCAGTTGATTGGATTGACAACCGGAGAGAATGCAGACACCGACTGAAGAGAGACGACACAATAAAGCCAAGTGAGACGCAATGTGAAATGCCATAGTTGTCAATAACTGGGGAGATTTCTAAATTGTAGATTAACTTGAAAACACTTCATAGGTAGGACTTACTAGATGTGGATGTCTTAACAATGGCATAAAAAATGTACCTTGTATTTATCAGTGTTCTTTAAGTAGATTGTTAGTGCACCGTGCCCTCCCATTGAGTGCCCAAAAATAGATGCCCGTGAAGTGTTCAGCTGTTCAAAGTTGTCACTTAAAACTTTTGGAAGCTCCTTCACAACATAGTCATACATGCGCCAATTTTTCCACTTTTCATTTGTTGCATTCAAATAGAATCCAGCACCTACTCATTGATGGTTAAAATAGAAACAGTAAGCACATCCAACTATATTCACAGAAAGGAAAGTCCATTATCATGCTAAATGATTTCATTCATTGAATTCAAACAAAATCCAACATATACTTGACAATAGTTAAAATAGAAACAATGAGCACATACAACCATATTCAGATAGGAAAGTGCATTGTGAACATGCTAAATGGATTTTATTTGTGGTATTCAAATAAAATCCAGCACTTATAATATTTTAAAACAGAAACACATCCAACCATATTCACAGACAGGAAAGCCCATTATTAACATGCTAGATAGAACTTCAAATGGTGCTCATATATTCTTCCAAAACGAACAGAATGTTCTACGAGAGAAAACCAGAGCCTCAAATTGCATTAAAACTACTGTCATTTCCAACTAGAAAAAACACTTGGCATAACTTCTTTACATACTCAAAACAGAAATCATATCAAGACTAAACATCATATATTCAATTATGCATCATCAAGATCATACATATCCACGCAATATTTCTAATTGGATTCCCCTCGAAAAAAATATTTCTAATTGGATCTATTAAATCCATAACTGCTATAATTTAGGAGCATCATATATCAGCCATGACATTGAGTCTCAGAGGATGATATAAACACATCTTTGCTATGACAGTCGCGCTATTTTCTGGTTAAGTTCAGCCCATATTCAGATGCATTAATGTAAAATGGAAATGAACAATCCTAGCACAGTACAGGGTGATTAAACTATTGTTTCCTCAGTGACTCATGCCACTCAACATCATCGTGCAAACACTATGTCTTTGAGCATGAAAGTGGAGTTTACCACCAATATATCTTGCAATCAAACAGACCATCATTTCACTATGCAACACAAATATTATGTCATAACAAGCTCATATGAAAATAGGCATACTAATAGAATTCAGACATGCATGTAAAGCTAATACTGATTTGGGTAGTTTTTGGTCCAGGGATGAGCTCTTGTCCAAGTATTTGGTTTGAGCTAGTGCTGGACGAGATGTTCCAAGTTACCAAATATTCAAGAAGGATCCAGGACAATGTGGTCCTATGTGTGTGTGTGCGTGTGTTTTTTTTTGACAGAATGAGCGATGAAATTGGATCACTGGCCACTTCCAAGCAAAGTGACCATCATCCTTGTGCAAGGCATGAAGGGCTAGGACAGCAACTTGTTAGTGATATACCCTAGACGCAATCGCATCGATGACGTATGACATGCCATGTTCATGTTGGGGATAAGATATCCTTGTTATAATTGGATTACATTGCCAGGAGATGGCTTGGCCTCTTTTAAGGCATTTTAAGCGATCCTACATGCAACACAAGGGACAACACCCAAGCGAACGCTAGTGAGAGGATAATCACACTTCCGTATCAAAATCCCAAAATATTTTTTAAAAAATATTATATGCCCACTGCTATCTCTTGAGTAGGCCTGTATTAAATACTAATTCCATGCTAGCATTGTCAGTTGACTAGCTAAAGCATGGTATTGGGGCCACGCAACATCCCTTGCTTAAATAGCAAAGACTTCAAAAAAAATGCTTTTGGAATAACTACTAATTTTCTATAAGTTGGCTCTCATCAATTCAGGAATATGATGCAACTTTAAAGGAGAAACAAACTTTGATGATGTTTGGTTCAACAGAAGATAAAATTAATGTAATTTGCTAATGTTTACTAAAGAATTGTAGTCGAATACATTACACTGCTTGGTTGAGAGAATTGATATGGCATACCAGTTATGATCTGAGGCAAAGTCTGAGAAACTTGGATTTAGACAGATCTATTACCCAAACAATTCAATTCAGACAAAACAGATCTATCAGGAAAGCTACAGGAAAACGAGAAAAGGGATAGATACCAACAACCCACAAAAACAGCTATTGTTGCAGTGACAGTTCGATCAAGAAATTCTAGAAAGAGACAACCATAAAATACACCATCAAGAGTACATCGGGGGCAAGAAAGAAACCAATCCATGGCTGCAACACTGAGTTCGCCATCGATTTGTGTCTGTATGACAGCTCAGCCTAAGCATTGCCTCCCAGATCCAGACCATTAAGTGCATTAACTTTTGCGCTGTCACGCATGGGGGAGCCAGGAAACACTTGGAGAGAGCGATGGAGATGGAGAGTAATCGATCACTTAGACATAAGGGTAGGGTTGCAAAGAATAGGACAATGGTGGGATCAAGAGGAAGGAATGATGAAATCTTGGGATCATGAAGCCACACCTAATTATCCTTGTCATTGCAGGGATGAAATGTTGACCGTTTTGAGAGTTGAGAGACCTGTAGTTGATGGACCACAATCAGACCAAGGCAAATAGTTCAGGAGACAAATGTGGAGATTTTCCCCTAATTTGTGGGAACATACATTTGAGTTCCAAATTTAACCTCAAGTTTTTAATTGAAAATATATTATAACCTTGATAATCAGGTTTTACTTGAAAATAAAATGCAAGTATTCTTAGAGTCCAACAGTGTTACATGTATAGGGATACTTTAAAAAATAGGATTTGGGGGATACTTCTAATATATATTAAATTTATTCATTTACAAAACTTAATTACAATGGTCATAATCTTATCAATCCCCATGCAGCAAAAGAACTACTAACCTGGCAATCAAAATCAGTAAGTTTCATGCACAGAACATTGTGTACAAAAATCTCACTGTCAGCCTATCTACTCATGCCGAAGAGAGTCCGCCATATCTACTCATTCCTTATGTTAGCTGCATCTACATTGCATAAAGTCAACTTTATGTAGAGCACATTATGTCACACTAACCTCATGCCACCGTACCTACTTTTCCTTTATGTTAGCTGCATCCACATTGCATAAGGTCAACGTTATGTAGTAAATAATAAGTCACCATTAGAGTCACCAACTGACTACACTATATGAACAGGACAAATCGCGAAGTGAATCCACCATATAAATGTAGCACAAATTCAGTCAAACACTAGCCTCATGAGTCATGACACACTCATGCTATGTTGCTATTCGATAGATTAAATTTCAGATTATAGTTCAGAATACCAGGCTGATAGAAAGGCAAAATCTATATTTCATAAATAGCATATAACAAGGCTACATGCATTATTTCACGTGGGCAACGCGAGCAATAGCATGGGCATCTACAAAAAACACATCATTTCACAGGCTACATCGTTTCACTGCTTTACGGCGTGAGATGTTGAACAAAGAAAATTGCAGCTTCAACATCTCACGCCGCATTGTAATGGGTCATCTGGTATGGTACGTTCAGTTGCCCATTTTGGCATTGGAGCATCACTAATATTTCAGCGTGCTAGAAAGTCCGATCATTCAGACAATGGCAACCTTCCTGGCAAGAGGGGAAAGCACCTCGCTCTAGAGTACCCGCGAACCGGTGAACCTTTCATAGATACACGCGCTAGAGCTTGCATTGCCTAGTCCATGTAGCCTTATTATCTACTATCTAGAAATATGGATTTTTCTGTTGACCCGATATTGTGAACTCTAATGTGAAATTTAATCAATCACTTAGACGTTTGGCATGAGTTCAATCCGCCCATCCAGATTTCGACCACTCCAACATCAAGGCCTTCCATCGACTAAAGCTCCGGTAGAGACAAAACTCATTGAAAATTTTGGCCCCTAGTTCCCGAGGAATCTCTCGACCTTTGAGCATATGATGAGGAAAACACAGGTGATAAATGATGTGTTAGTAAACAGATATACATGTGGCAATTTTCATTCGCTACTTTGTTGTTTACTCGATGTGGAGCACCGCAAGCCATTCCCGCGGTGAAGCTCAGTTAGCAAACACACTTCACCAATGTAAATGCGCTAGTGGGGATTGAATTGAAATTGAAGCATAACCTTCAAGTGCAGTAGTTGGGATTTAAAGGTAGAAGATGAAAGGTTTGGCAAGCCGATAGCAAGAGAGTATGCAAAGCTCAACTCTAGTTGGATCCCAAGGCAGGTGCAAATCTTGACATTGCTCATGGTTGAAATGTTGTCCAAGATTGCATAAGAATACCTTGATTGTGTTGTATTGTCCAAACTACTTCCATTCAGAGAGCAAACCAAACTGCACTTGCTAAATAAAAATGTGTGTCCAAGTGAGGTAGTACTAAGCCTAAGAACTAGTCTGTGATTTCCTTCAATAGATGTTTTTATTTCCCAGCAATCTTCAAAGCATAAAGCATGCAGCAAAATAGCAGCTGCATGACAAGCATTACATGAACAAATAGCTTGCATTATCGTAACAAGGTTCACGAAGAACTAAAAAAGGGAACACTGACATTTGAAAAAAGTAAAATATAGGTGTCAAGTACAAATTTTTGGATAAAAGGAAGCACTATTTTATACAGAAATACCAATTTAGAGTTCAGAAACCAGAATGAAACTCTCAAGCAAGAAACCAAGACAATGTTTTCCTCAAAAGAAAACACTAGTTTTGGGAAGGAATCAAAATACAAATTAAATTGTTATATGCATGAAATTGACTTTTCCATTTATCGAGCACCAAAATTCAGAAAAGCAATTATAGATACCAAACTTTGTTTCCAAATCAAAATAAAATTGATGAAAATGATACATATTTTGTTGTAATACAACAAACAAGATAAAAGCTTTAGAAAAATAGATTTGTGAAACACGATAAAACACTAGAACAGTCTGGACCTACCAAATATAAGTGTTAAATATGAAATTAAGATGTTTTCAACAAAACAAAACACTATATTTCAAAAAATATATATTAGAGGATAGCAAGTTAAAGTCAAGAATCCAATGAGAAATGTCGGGCAAGAAGCCATGAGAATCTTATTTTGGGTACTACGAATCAAAATAACAAATTAAATTGTTAAAAACAAAATTGGGTTTCTTTATTTCAATAAATGGGAATACCAAATTTCAGAAAACCAATTATAAGTACCAAATTGAAAAGCTTTAGACAATGTTTTTCTCCATAAACAAAAA